CCCAGCAGGCCTCGAAAGTGGCGACAGTTTCACAGATCGCAGCCCCCCAGGGATGGCGAGGTCTAATCTGAATCCCCGTAGGACGTCACTCCGCTGGGCCCCCCAGCGGCCTCGAAAGTGGCGACAGTTTCACAGATCGCAGCCCCCCAGGGATGGCGAGGTCTAATCTGAATCCCCGTAGGGCGTCACTCCGCTGGGCCCCCCAGCAGCCCTCGAAAGTGACGGCAGTTTCACAGATCGCAGCCACCCAGGGATGGCGACCGCAGGCGGGAGGAGGCGGGAAGGAAGGAAGGAAGGAAGGAAGGAAGGAAGGTGGAGACCGCAGTGCTCTATTCAAAACGAGTACCCAACACAGGAGGGTTGGGAACAATACAAGGTGCCCGCGGGCCTCACGAACATGACTCCAGACTTTGCCCCAAACTGTACTGTGTATTGTTTTTTTGACAGGGATGTTGCGGGGGGGGGGGCGCATCGGGTTGGTTGGGCATGTTCCGAATTTGGAGGCAGATTGCGTTTTGTATGGTTTCTTGGCAGGGATGGTGGGGGGGCCGTCATGGTGTGCTCATGGTTCCGAGGTGGCTGCCGGCCGGGTGGGGGAGGGGGTGTTTATTAACAGGGAAAGAGTGATACACGACGAAAGTAGGTATTTTTGGATTCCCAGATCCTAATCCATTTCTAGCGCATTCCTACTTTAAGAATCGGCATGGTCTTGATGTGTGTTGTTATTCTCTAGGAGGGCCTTGAGCCAATCTACTTTATCCGCCTTCCTACTTCATGTTTTTACCTGATTCTTCCGACCGACGTGAACCCATCCCCGAAGGGGAATAAGGCTTTTGGAAGAGGAAAGGAAATCACCGTTTGACCACCTGTCGCCTAAAGGGCTGGTGGGACTTGTCAAGGCGCTGCGAACAGCTGTGAACAACATGGTGACCGTTTTTTGTTCGTTGTTTTGCCGATCGGCGTGGGCCCTCTCACCCCCCCTCTTCTGGAGCCCCATGCTTGGTACCGTCCCTGGCGATGCTCTCGTCCATCGCCATGCTGAACAAAGCTGCCTGCAACGCCGATGAACGCCGCCTTCTGACTGCTCCACGATGTCATGCCTGGCTGCCGAATCCTTCCCCAGGGTCTGATAGGTAGTGTAATAAACCCAATCGGCCTCTCATCTCCAGCCTGCATGTTGCTTCCCTTGTGGAGCAGTTCGAACCAAACATGTAGCCATTGGTATGGCCAAGCACGTTCGGATTCACAGTATGAAAGAAGGGGGGCTACTTCTTGTTTGGCTGCTGGATCCATGGCCTGGATTTGCTGGACCCTCCACATGTCGGAGCCTTGGCCTGACGAGCTCGTGGTGGCTCGCAGGGCTCCTTCCAACAGATCTCCTGATATGGGCTCACGATCCTGCAATTCCTCAAGTGCACGATCTCTGAGACGTTGCATTTGGCGGACACAATCTTTCTGATCATTGTGCTTGGTCCACCTCGCTTTCCGTTGCTTCGCGCGTGTCTGTACTGCGCTCTGTCGGTTGGCCATAACTCCACGGCCGTCAGGATCCAAGCAACGTTCTGGAAGCTCGAGGGGTTCGGGCCTCTTGAGGTATCGGTGAGCGTCTCGCGTGTTGCCTTCCGTCGCCTTCTTGACCCACTCGCCGATGCCGATCTTTGCCTTCTGCCACGCTCTCTTGCCACGGCGCTCTGCTTGTCGACTGACCTGCTGGAGAGCGACATGCCACAGTGGGTGTTGGGTGTCCAGCTCTGTTTTGTCCTGGCATCGCTCGGACGTGTGCATTTTTTCCTTCGGCGAGGGCCATCGAGGAGCACCCTTGATCAATTGGCGAAACAACCACGCACGACACCGAAAAAAGCACAGGGAATAGACGTCCGAGCGATGGCCAGTTGTTAATAACATCCATAGCCTTCGAAGTTTGGGGCGCTGTGTACTCGAGGTCCCCGACGTGCTTGATCTGTCTGCGCATGCTTGCGCTGAGGGCCCTGCAGCGCGCTGAGCTGGATGAAGCTCCCAAGAAGTGAGGCAGAGATCCCAGCTCGATCCATCTGTCATGCCGTGCTTGGTCTGGGTCCATATGATGCTGCGTACGCCTGGGAGCTGCTGGCAAGCGTCGGTATCGAACTGGGTGTCCTCGGATAGGTCTGGCCTCGCCCTCTTTGCCGCGCAATATGGCCAGTGAGTGGTCTGCTGCTTGCGCCCACTTCATGCATTTGTCGCCCAGGTGCTGGCTGGCCTGCTGCGCGAGCGCAAACGCGATGCTCTGCTTAGTGAACTCGTCTGGTTCTGGAAGCTCGCATGCTTCAACTTGCTGACGAACGTCCTGCCACACTTCGTCCTCCATCACTGCCAGCATCTTGGTGTAGGTCGGGGAGAAGAGGTTGTCTATCTCCTGACGTTCTGCCTGCATTGTCAGCTGCCCATCGGAAGGCTGGGTGGTGTCCTCACCGATGTCCTGCTCACCCATGTGCTCCGTGAGACGAGCGTGCCTTTCGCGATCCCGCTGCTTTCGCTTGGGGCACTTTTCCACATGCACTGTGATGTGTGGTACTTGGTGCTGTTCAGCTCGAACTGGACGAAGTACCTTTAGCGCAGCAGGGCGCCTCGCTATCTTGATGCACAGGCCCACGTGAGGTCTCCATTGGACCTTTGTGACTGCCGTGACCTCTCCGAGGGAAGGCCGAAAGGCTAGAGGGCACAGCACATAATCCAACATCCGTCCCCTTCCACTCGAGCAAGTAGCATCTACGACTGCAGGTGTAGCTGGCTGTACCGAGAGCGTCTTGGCCCAGGGCGACTGCATACATTCTTTCGGTGTGGCGTTCCAGTCGCCCACCGCTGCCTATGGTGTGTTGATGTTGGCCACGAGCAGGGCGAACTGCATATTTTGTTTGGTGTTGGGGCCCGTCGAGCCTGGGCCGCTGTCCAGATGCACTGCGAAGAACGCGATTCGAGTGCCACCCTTCAAGTCCCAATGCACCACCGCAATGTCGTGCAGCTCCTTCTCAAATGTGCTAGCCCCGCTGAGTGTTGGTCTGTGTACTGAGGTCTGAAGGTGAGAACGGCGCAGCCAACATGCTCCCCCATGAGTTCCGTCTGCAGAACGTCCAGTGCGCGATGCAGCTGTCCATGTGTGCTGAGAGCGCCATCCATAATGCAGAAGCCGCTGGGCTTCTTCGGACGCCTTGGCTGCCGCGAGGTTGTGCTCGACAAGGCCCACCACATCATACTTCGACTGCATGGTAAAGTGACTGGCGTCGACGTTTTACTGAGAGATACTCGCGACGAAAATGCTGGCGTACTCCCCTTCGTCGTTGCTCGCATGAAGAGTATTGGGCGGGCCCTGGAACTCGCGCTCGGGGTCCTCGAATTTCGTACGAACTCGTCTGAGGCTAAACCCGCGGCGGCGAAGCCACCTCGACCTTGGCTGTCACTGGGGTCTTCGTGCGCTTGCGGATCGCCTGGGTCTGCTCGCCTCTGGGTCTGTTCGAGGTATTGGTCCAAGTGCTCGGGCTTCGTGAAGTCGACACCACCTGTCGGCACGCCTTCAGCCTGGGCTGTGGGTCCGCTGGCTGAAGCAGTTTCTGCCGCATGAGCATCACCTTGCACTGGTCCTTCGGTTCCTCGGCGCCGTTTTGATTTTTTGGCATGGTCTGCAGACTTGCGGAGGTTCTCGGCGGCCTCCTCCCTTGCCGTGGAAGCTTCCTTGGCCGCCTCGAGCGTTTGCTGGGCTGCCGCGGCTGCTTCTCAAGCCTCTATGTACAGACATCTCTCTTTTGTTTCTTCTCCGAGGAATTCCAAGTCTTCTGGCGAAAGCTCAGGGAACGGTCAAGCTTGCTGGCTTTGTTGGAGCGCTGCAAGTCCTGTGGTGGCCTTTTCCCGACAGGACTACTCTGTGCTGGGTTTCCTTCTCTGCGATCTTACTATCATCCAATTTTGCCAATCTGCCCTTTTGCTCTTCTGCATTGCGCTGGAGTCTCTTCCGTATCTTATCTCCTGCCTGGGTGACCATGCGGACCCTGGCCGCTGCCTCCAACTCCTCGAAGGGCTTGGGCTCTGGGGCTGGCTTCGGGTCTGGCTGGCGCAGTTGAGGGCAGGCCTGCTCCAGCAAGGCCAACTGCTCTTGGTCGTTGCTTTCTTTTGCATGCTTGCACTTGTCTCCAATGAGGGCGACCAACGCCTGGGCTTGCGCATCGGGAACACACTGGTTGGCCAAGGCCGGTGGCCACTCAGTGCCACATTTGGCACATTTTCCCTTCGCTGTGATGCGGTCGTTGTAGATCCAACCGCTGCCAAAAGGAGTACAAGTGCTGCAAACTGTATACCGTCTCCGCTGCCCGCCCTGGCCATATTTCTTCGACCTTGAATGCGAACGTGCCCGGCTGGCCTCACGGCCTCCTTCTTGGGCGGGAGCTTTCCTCCCCTGCTGCAGCTGCTGTCGTTGTATGCTGCGACTTCCGCCGCACCCTCAGGTGCGCCCCTCAAGCCAGGCGCGCCTCGCGGCCTGCTGGGCTGGGCAGGGGCGGACGCGCGTACTCGCTCAGCAGTGGGTCCGCCAGAATGCACGCTGCAACTTTTTGGGCCCAACTTGCTTGAGTGGAGGAGGAGGAGGAGGAGGAGGAGGAGGAGGAGGAGGAGGAGGAGGAGGAGGAGGAGGAGGAGGAGGGAGGAGGAGGAGGGAGGAGGAGGAGGAGGAGGAGGAGGAGGAGAGGAGGAGGAGGAGGAGGAGGAGGAGGAGGAGAGAGGAGGAGGAGGAGGAGGAGGACGAGGAGGAGGAGGAGGGGGAGGAGGAGGAGGAGGAGGAGGACGAGGAGGAGGAGGAGGAGGAGGAGGAGAGGAGGAGGGGGAGGAGGGGGAGGAGGAGGAGGAGGAGGAGAGGAGGAGGAGGAGGAGGAGGAGGAGGAGGAGTAGGCGAAGAGAGCGCAGAGACGAGAGACGCGAGGAGGCGGGGAGAGGCGGTCGTGCTCCTCGTCCTGCGTTGCGGTCGCCGCGTCGCGGCGGCCTCCGCCAGGAGCCCGCGTCGACGCTGCTGCGTCCGGCCGGCTCCGCCGAGCCCGCGGCGGCGGACCGGGGGGGATCGGGGGCAAAGGTTGGGAGCGCCCTCCTCCGCAGGCCAATCGATTTGTGGGGATCTAGCCATATAGATTCAGGTAGATGCAGATAATTCGAAGTGCATCCAGGTTAATACAGGCAGATCGAGTTAAATCTGGGTACATCCAGGTAAATCCAGAGATCTCCAGGGGAAATTGGAGCAATTCGCGGCCGCTCAAGCGCGAGTCGAAGGACGGCAGAAGTCGTTAATCCTTTAACGAAAAAAGGGGCGCCAAGGATGTGCATCAAGGGGGGGCGTCAAGGGGTTCCATCAAGGGGGGCGTCAAGGGAGTGCATCAAGGGGAGCGGTTCAAGCGCGCGGTTCAAGCGTGCAGAGTGGTTGCACCTGTTGGCGCCCGGTCCAGGGTGTCTGCAGATCTGACCCTTCGGCCCTACACAAGGCAAGGGCGGGGGGGGCAGGTTCCAGGGCGGGGGGGGTGTTTCGAGGTGCGAGATTTTCGACCGTTGTCTTTTCCTTCGGCGGCCTTTCAGCCTCGGGATGTGCCTTCCAACGGCCACGCCTCGTCGAGTGTTTCTGGGGCTGGCCGGGTCGCCCCGAACGGCTGCCAGAGGCCAGAGCGTCGCCCGAAAGCCACCGGGGGGAGCAGGGGCACGAAAGGGGGGGGGGCATCGGCACGCGGGGGGACATGTCGATCCCCCGGTCGCCCATGGATCGCCAGCATGGGCCCGATGGCCCCGCCCGCGCCCAGGCGCGTGCGGATGTGCCATCGGGCGCTTCTCTCGCCGATCCGTCGGCGGCGTATCGCCCAGCCCGGGTCGACGTTTCTGCCCCGCCTGCCGCTGCCCCCCCTGTCGTGGCCCGTCAAGGGGGGGGCGCAGAGCGGAGGGGGAGGACGGGCCGTGCGGAAGTGGGCCCCGTCCCCCCCCCCCCCCGCAGGCCTCCTCCTCCTCCTCCTCCTCCTCCTCCTCCTCCTCCTCCTCCTCCTCCCAAGGCGCCGAGGCCTTCTCGCCGAGGCCATCTTGGAGGCTCCAGCGACCCGTGGGACCTCCACTCCAGGGCCCGGCGGGGGGGGGTAGGGGGAGGGGCGCCCCCCCCACCCCGAAGGGGAAGAAGGGGGCCGGAAGGGGGGCCCCCCTGCAACGCTCACGCCCTGAGGTGCTGGTGGCCTTGTTTGCGGAGAAGTCGCCACGAAAGACAGAGTCATGAGTGAAGCTTCCATCTTTCCTCCCTTCCTCTCCCCCCTCAGCGGCAGTCTTGAGCGACGTGTTCCCTCTGCGACTTGGCCAGCTCGGCGAACCGCATTCAGTGTCGCAAGTGTCGCAAGTGTCGCAAGAGTCACGAGTGAGAGAGCTCCTGAATTTGTTGTCACGCCTGGGCCCTCCACAGACCCCGCGACCATCCCACGGCAGCTCGGGGTGAGATCCGCCCTCCGGGGATCAGGCTCCCGGGTCCGGGACCCGCTTCCTGCAAGACCATGTTCTTCCTTGGCGCAGGAGGGAAGGGAGGAACGCAGAGGAGGAAGAGGAGAAGAGGTGCGGATGCGGAAGGAGGAGGATCATCGACGATCGAGGACCGAGTTTGTTTGTTTTTGTTGCGAAGGCTTGAGGGAGGGGGAGGAGCAGGAGGGGAGAAGGGATCGGAACGGGAGGTTGGGAGCGGAGTGGAGATGGGGGGAGGGTGAGGATGGAGGATAAGGTGCAAGGGAGGGAGGGAGGATTGAGGGGTCCCCGCCCGCTCTTCCTTCTTGTTTTTGTCATTATTCCTCCCCTGATCGTATTCTATCTCCGCCTTCTCCCTCCCTCCCTCCCTCCCTCCCTCCTTTATCTTACTTGCTTCCTCGTTTTGCTCAAACCTCGTCATCCCCTGTCCTCGTGGGATCATCCTTCCACTGCCTTTTCCATCCACGCGCTCTCTTCCTTTCTCCTCCCTCTCTCCTCCCCCCTCCTCATCCATCTTTTCTCATCCTCCCTCCCTGTTCCCACCGCCCCTCCTCCTTCATACTCCTCCGTCCACCTCCTTCCTCCGTCCCCCTTCCCTTCTCCCTCTCCTCCCCATCCTACCTCCTCCCGATCGCCCTCCCTCCTCACTCATTCTCGCTCCTCCTGCCTCCTCGACCCCCCTCTCCGCAGATCCGACTCCTGCCTCGTCCCTCCCTCCCTCACCCTCCTCTCTTTCTCCCCCCGCGCTGCGGAATCTCGAGGCCAGGGCCTCACCGCACACGGACCCTGGTGCCTCACTGGTGGTTCGTTTCCTTCCTCCCTTCCCCCCCCCCCGCCCCCTTGAGGCCCAGGGCATCGCCCTCCATATCCCTTTGGGCACGGTATTTGACTGTGCCCGCCTTTTCCTTCGCTGCTGATGCTCGGTGCTATCGCTCTGACTGCACTGCTGCATGCTCGCTCGCCCCCTCGCCCCCCTCCTCGCCTCACTCGCCCTCTCACGTCCTCCTCGGAAGCCGCCGGGCCCCCGCCAGGCGGCGCCCGAGCCCCCGAAGGAGCTGGAGCAGGATGCGGCGGAGGACCCGCGGTGCCGATGCGAGTTCCATGGGGAACGGTAGGGCAGGCATGACTGTCCTCGAGGAGGTCTTTGGAGATGTGGCTCGCACCCTGTCGAAGAGAGCCGATCGATTGCCCCAGAGGGGGCCAAGATGGCTCAAGAAAGCTCCAGCAGAGCTTCGAGACGTAGCTGAGTTGGGGGTAAGAGTCCTCGTGGATGCTTCTTGGGATCTCTTCGGAGGGCTCTCTGGGAGCCTCTGGGAAGAAACTTTGAGGCCTCTGGGAGGCCTCTTGGGGGCTTCTTACGGGCCTCTTGGGGCTTCTTGGGGGCCTTTTGGGGGTCTTGGGAGCTTCTTTTGGGGCCTCTTGGGGGCCTCTTGGGGGCCTCTTGGGGCATCTTGGGGCCTCTTGGGGGGCGAGAGCTCGAAATGTTTGTTCGTGTTTCCCCTCTGGGCCCCCTCTTAGGGGCCATCTTGGGCCATGTGTAGGTCCTCCTGGAGGCTGTTTGGACCGTCTTGGAGCGATCGCGGGGCCTCTTGGGTCGTCCAGGGCGGCCAGAAGCTCGAAAGGGCGGTACTGCTAGGATCGTCCGACAACCCGTACGGAATCACCGAGTTTTGCGTCTTCAGAGCCACTTGGAAGTCCTCTTGGAGCCCTCCTGGAGCCACTGAGGGGCGCTGCGTGGGCCGTCTCGGGACCAACGTGGGCCACCTTGGAACGCTCTGGGCCTGCGGCCGTGGGGCGTGCCACCCTTTCGGCGGCCTCCTTGGGGCGCTCGGGGGGGCCCCCGAGGCCGCGCCCGGGAGTTCGGGCATCTCTGGCCCGACCCCGACCTGTTCTTGCAGGGTTGCTTCTCGTCCGGAGACCCCAGGGGCCGCCGCGCGCGCGCGATGCAGAAACCTTCCTGAGCTCTCACCGGAGACTGCAGCACGCCTCTAATCCGTTGGGCCAGCGAGTTGTTTTGCCGATTGGCGCGGGCCCTCGCGCCCCCCCCCATGGAGCAGATCTTGGCTGTCTGTGGCGCCTGTTTCGATTAGGTGGAGTAAACAGGGGCCCCGCCTCTCCCCCTCCTCTCCTAGTGTACACGCGAATCGTTGTTTCGCGCAATTGTGCATCATATTTTCGCGGCGGCCCTCGGGAAAATAAGAAAGGGGCTCTAGGGCGCCGGATGCGTTGTAAAAGAAGTGAATCAGGTGCGGCCCCAATTAGGGGAAAGTTTCCTATTGCATGGGCACAGTGCTTGGCATTGCCTCGCATTGCTTGGCATTGCTTGCCTCCTATTGCATGGGCACAGTGCTTGGCATTGCTTGAGGCCCCCAGCACAGGCCCCCAGATGGCTCCCCACGAGATCCGAAAGAGTGCCCGAAGAGGGGAACATTGCTTCATCCCCTCAGGACAACGTGCATGTTCAGCAAGTTGGGCTTTTCGCGTTTCGCGACGTTCAAGACGACCCAAGAGGCCCCCAAGCTCGCCCCCAGACAGGCCGAGAGGCCCCGAAGACGGTCCCAAGGCAGCCCAAAGGCGCTCCAAGACGGACCCAGAGGCGCCGAAGACGGCTCAAGAGCGCTCCAAGAGAGCCCCGAGAGAGAGCCAAGATAGGGAACTCGATGTCAGAATCCAGTATTTCTGCCCCAAGAGAAGCCCCGAGACCGCCAGCAGGCCCCCACAGGCTCTGGAGTCCCCCAGATGACCTGGATCGGTGCCAAAGTGCGGCATAGGGGAGTTCAGGGGGTCTTGGATGGCTCCGAGGGCACCCTGCTCCGGACCTCCTCCCAAACGAACCTCGGCCCACCAAAAAGGGCCTAAAGGGTGCTCAGAGGGCCCAAGAACGTCCCCAGCACGCCCACCACTGCTTCAAGACAGCCCACGAGGCCTCCAAGACGGCCGAAGAGGGCTCCGAAGTGCTCTCCGAGAGAGTCCCAAATAGGCAACATTCACTGGTTTCCAGTAGGTCTTTGGAGGATTCTCCCGTTGTCGCCTGCTCTGCTTCCCTACGCTCCGAGACGGCCCAAGAGGCTTCCAACAGGGCCGCAGCGCACCCCAAGAGGGTGCCAAGACGGCTCAAGAGGCGTCCATGATGGCCCAAGAGGCCCCAAGATGGCTCCCCGAATGAGCCTGGACACGCCAAAAGTAGCCCTAAAGGAGTCCAAGCGGGCTCCAAGACGCCCCGAAGACGGTAACGCTTGCTTCGCAACGGCCCACCCGGCCTCCAAGACGGCCCAAAAGAACCCCAAAATGCCTCCACAGCCATCTTGGCTCAAGTCTACATCAGGCTGGCTTTCAGCATTTGAAACCGCACCCGCACACTCCGTACACTCATATCTACGACAGTTGTTTGTTCCAATAATCTCACAGATGGCACATGTCATTCTGATCGCCAGCCTGGTCGGGGCCAGCGGCGTGTCCAGCCTGGCTTCTGCAGTTGATCTCGAGCTGATGCAGATGTCGACCACTGGCGACACATGGAGCGTGTCTACATATGGCCGGTTCTGCGCTGGCGATAATCAATTCCAGGGCCTGGTGGGATACAGCGTGTGCCAGGCGTCATGTCTGGCTGAGCCGCGATGCGTCGCGATCATGGGCGCAGTCACCATGGGCGACAGCTCTTGTTGGCTAGCCTTGGATGCTTGCATTGAGACGACGGCCCATCCACACTACAGGATCTGGTACAGGCCGGCGACCGCGGCGCCGACGCCCAACCCGACGCCTTTGCCCACGCCATCACCGACTACGGCGCCGACGCCCAGCCCGACGCCCTCGCTCACGCTATCACCGACTATGGTGCCGACGCCGAACCCGACGTCGAGCCCGACGTCCGCGCCCGCGTCATCCCCGACGGCGTCGTCCGCCACCGGCGACCCACACCTGCAGAACGTGTTCGGTCAGCGGTTCGACTTGGCGAGGCCGGGCATCTCTGTCTTGGTCCGCGTTCCACGCGGAATGCCCGTCGAGGATGCGTTGCTTGTTGTCAAGGCCGATGCGCGTCGATTGGGGGCACGTTGCTCAGACATGTACTTCCAGGAGATCAACGTCACAGGGACGTGGGCGCACAAGGCGCAGCCTGGAGGCTTCCGCTTCGACGCTCGCGGCGCTCGCGCCGAGAAGCCGAAGTGGCTGAGGCTCGGGCCAGTGGAGCTCAAAGTCGGCAGCGGGCACACCGACAAGGGACTGCATTATCTGAACGTCTATGTCAAGAACCTTCAGCGTGTCGGGTTTCATGTCGGAGGGCTGCTGGGAGAGGATGACCACGCGGAGGCGGCGGTGCCTGAGGAAAGGTGCCAGAAGATCCTGTCCCTGGAGGCATATGCATATGGTCAGCTTCCACAAGGCTCCGTCGCAATCGGCTACTGAGCCGGGAACTCCCAGCACCGCGCGACGCTGTCAAGCCCGCCCGCGATAGGACGGGTCGCCTGCCTGCCGCTGGCCACCCGTTCCTTGCGAGACGACTAGTAATATGAACAGCTCCAGAGGCCCCCTAGTATTGCGGTCGGTTGAGAAGAGCCATTACTTTTTCTGGCCGAAAGAGGCCGCGCGTTATGTCACTTTTGTCACTCGTCGCCATCGGCTACTGTGCCGAGGGCTTCCGGCTCCGTGCAGCGCGGTCGAGCCCGCCCGCGATAGGACGGCTCGTCGGCCGGTCGTTGGCCACCCGTTCCCTGAAAGAGGCGCATTTGTTGGATCGTTTTCTTGTTCATTCAATCGCTTCGCTCATTCCGCCGGCCCATTTCGCATCACGGTGGCTGGATAGTGGTGTGCTCGTACCCATGGGGAACGGTAGGGCAGGCATGACTGTCCTCGAGGAGGTCTTTGGAGATGTGGCTCGCACCCTGTCGAAGAGAGCCGATCGATTGCCCCAGAGGGGGCCAAGATGGCTCAAGAAAGCTCCAGCAGAGCTTCGAGACGTAGCTGAGTTGGGGGTAAGAGTCCTCGTGGATGCTTCTTGGGATCTCTTCGGAGGGCTCTCTGGGAGCCTCTGGGAAGAAACTTTGAGGCCTCTGGGAGGCCTCTTGGGGGCTTCTTACGGGCCTCTTGGGGCTTCTTGGGGGCCTTTTGGGGGTCTTGGGAGCTTCTTTTGGGGCCTCTTGGGGGCCTCTTGGGGGCCTCTTGGGGCATCTTGGGGGCCTCTTGGGGCCTCTTGGGGGGCGAGAGCTCGAAATGTTTGTTCGTGTTTCCCCTCTGGGCCCCCTCTGAGGGGCCATCTTGGGCCATGTGTAGGTCCTCCTGGAGGCTGTTTGGACCGTCTTGGAGCGATCGCGGGGCCTCTTGGGTCGTCCAGGGCGGCCAGAAGCTCGAAAAGGCGGTACTGCTAGAATCGTCCGACAACCCGTACGGGGATTCACTGGGTTTTGCGTCTTCAGAGCCACTTGGAAGTCCTCTTGGAGCCCTCCTGGAGCCACTGAGGGGCGCTGCGTGGGCCGTCTCGGGACCAACGCGGGCCACCTTGGAACGCTCTGGGCCTGCGGCCGTGGGGCGTGCCACCCTCTCGGCGGCCTCATTGGGGCGCTCGGGGGGGCCCCCGAGGTCGCGCCCGGGAGTTCGGGCATCTCTGGCCCGACCCCGACCCGTTCTTGCAGGGCTGCTTCTCGTCCCGAGACCCCAGGGGCCGCCGCGCGCGCGCGGTGCAGACACCCTCTTGAGCTCTCACCGGAGACTGCAGCACGCCTCCAATCCGTTGGGCCAGCGAATTGTTTTGCCGATTGGCGCGGGCCCTCGCGCCCCCCCCATGGAGCAGATCTTGGCTGTCTGTGGCGCCTGTTTCGATTAGGTGGAGTAAACAGGGGCCCCGCCTCTCCCCCTCCTCTCCTAGTGTACACGCGAATCGTTGTTTCGCGCAACTGTGCATTATATTTTCGCGGCGGCCCTCGGGAAAATAAGAAAGGGGCTCTAGGGCGCCGGATGCGTTGTAAAAGAAGTGAATCAGGTGCGGCCCCAATTAGGGGAAAGTTTCCTATTGCATGGGCACAGTGCTTGGCATTGCCTCGCATTGCTTGGCATTGCTTGCCTCCTATTGCATGGGCACAGT